GCTGTATTGAAGAGGACAAACATTACGGATAGGTAATGTTCTCTCTTCTTCTCTTGTAGGTTTGGAAGAACATTGTTCTCTGGCACTGAGTGATCGCACTTTTGAAGAAGGTGCTACCTGAGGGAGTAAAAGGAATCGATAGTTATTGCTTCCTTGCAACTCCTTTTTGTACTTGAACCTCTTCCTTTCTCTGGGTTTTTGACTGAGAAAGACCATGAGCTCAGTAAGTATTTTACTGCTGGGTGCAATCCTGGTTCTTAAAAACAGTTGTTTCTGGTAAACTCCAGAAATGCTTTGGAAGAGTCTGTAGTAAAGGCACAGGAACACAAGCCTATGAAATCTTCATGTAACTGCATGTTCTGTGATACTTCAGTATTTAAATCTCTCTAGAAGCCAGCAGTTGGTCAGAAATCCTTGGAGTATGAGCAAAAACCCGGCACAACTGTGAACTAGTCTTTCTCCCTTGCAAACCCTCACGAGATGTCTTTGTGACATAAGTGGGAAGAGATCTGGGGTGATGTCTTTTCCTTGCTGCAATGTGTTCAGGTAGGAATGACCCATCTCGCTACTGGATGCATATGACAGCCTCTCTAGGGAGGCTTTTGTGCATCCTCATGTGCTTTCATTAGTGCTGCAGAGATGAGGGACACATGAAAATGATCCCTAAAGAAAATGCTATGGCTTCGTTCTCCCTTAGGGTCAACGCAAGCGCCATGGAGGACCACGTAGTTTCAGGCTACCTCAGAAATGAATCAGGCTGATGGCTTCCACCTCAGCAAGAGCTTCAGAAGCAGAGCCAATAGAACTTGGAGAAAGTGGTAAGCTTCCTTTTCCACTTGACCAGATGCTAAACTGCTTCTGGAGGCTTGGGGTCCCCCTTGGCCTGTGTTTTTGCCAGTTGCTAGGCCCCTTCTGGGGGGAGAAGGGAAAGCTTGGATTTTACCAAGAGTCTAGTATGGCATCCAGAAACAGCAAGCGTACTGACAACTGACTGAGTTAAGTACTGAGGCGAGATCTGTTCTCCACTCGTGCTAGATGGGTTGTGTAATAAAGTTGCTCAAGTGCTACTCAAATGTCCAAAGGTCTGGTCTGAGGAGCTGGGAGTCACTGCAGAGAGTGGCAAACTTAACTGGGGAATGGCCAAGGTTTAGAGGGTTAATCAAGACCTTGTCATTAGTGGTGCCCTGTCCATCAAGGGAACATTTATGGCAAGGTACTGTGAATCCTATAGGATTCCTGCTTTATTCTGTGTGATCCACATTGTCCTACATTAGATGAATAACCTGTTGCTGTGTGTCTACTGCCAATTGTTGTCATTCTGTCACAGCAGAAGCAAATGGGGAGCTCAGCCACTGTTCCTCTGGCATTGCAACTTGCAGAAGAGAGTTCTATAGTGGCAGGTAATTTTACTCCCCTGCAATCTCTTATCACAATTTTCACACTCTGTTTTTAAGCTCCAGAAGAATTAGAAGATCTTGCAGGCCCGTCTTCTAATCCTGCAGTCATTGATGTCACTCTGGATGATTCTGAAGGAGTGAATGGCACATTTACCTGAACCTGGTAGTCAAATAGGTTTTCTGTCTTGCTTCCAGACAGAATCCATCCTTAAGGAAAGAACTGAGGTTCAAGGTTGTTAGTGTACATGTTTGCCCACCCTAGAGGTGATCGTATGCCTTTTTGTAGAGTAGACATGATGAGAAATGCATTTCGTGTATGACATTCTCTCGGGAGTAGACCCCTTGTTCCCTGAGTGTTAGCCCGAGGCTCAGAGGAAGTCTGGCATATTCATCATGGTGCTGCAATAAATGAACTCTACTGATAAGTACTGAGCTTGAGGCATCTGGAAGACTGAATGCCAGGGCATTGAAGAATTCTACGAAATGTGTATTGGACCTATCTTTGAAGATCTGTATGGTAAAAGTAAATGGAAGTTGTGAATGCAGATGTAAAACGTAGCGCTGATTTTGAATCAAAATATGGAGTACTGAAAGTGGGGAGGAGGGAGGAGCATGTCCTGGTGGTTCATAAGCTGCCTCCATTTCTGTCTCTTTGCAGCAGCATGACCAAAACCAGAAGCAATCACTTGTTCTGAGAGTAGCAGCTAATTTACTATTATTTCTGAGAGTATTCAGGAAAATGAGAGAGGGATATCCTGTCATTTTTAACAGTTATTGTTGACATTGCTTAGCTGATGTGTTGTTTGTACGTGACACCAGGTGGGCACACCAAAGTCTAATCGTGTTTTCTCTTCCTACCCATATGATCTGATGGAAGACTGATGCAGCTGGTGAGTTGATGACTTACAATTGGTAATGGGATTGCCCTAAACTTAATCTTTTTGGGGGGGGCATGTGTTTTCACATGAACTCAATCAGCATGGATTGAAGCTGCCTTTTCCAAAAGGCAAAGGACAGTACTCAGTAATCTGGGGACTGGACCCAATCTGTGCTTGATAGTCACTCTCAGAGCTTGTAGAGACTACCTGAAAGCAAAGCTGTGCAAAGTCTGATTTTACTTTCCTAAGTCACAACTTCTGCAAACATAAAGTTGCTATTAATTTAATCATAAAGTTTACCACTGAATATGAAATATTCCAGAAGATTATTTTTAGCATGTATTGCAGTGAGGAAAATAATGACGTAGTTACAGACCCTGCAGAATCCTGCATTTTAAGGAATGTTCCAGAGCTATATGTTTTATGCTCTATCTACCTTAGGGAAATTTTGTTCCTCTGGCATTGCAACATGCAGAATACCATTCTAGAGTGGCAGGACATTTTATTCCTCTGCAGTATCTGATATTGGTTCTCACATTCTGTGTTTAAGCTCCTGAAGAAGTAGATTCCTCCTCAAGTGAATTTTCTTTATCTGATATCCTTGCTCCCACTCAAGATGATTCTGATGAGGTAAGGAGTGAATGGCACACTTACCTAAACCTTGTAGTCAAATCTAATTGATTTCTGTTGTGCTTCCTGAGGGAATGCATCGTTAAAGACGGATTTTACATTCAATGTTGTCAGTGCACCACTTTAAGCAGTCCAGAGGTGATCATATGCCTCTATATAGAGTAGACATGGATGATAAATGCATTTCAAGTATGACATTCCTAAGAATGTAGGAATTTTTAGGAACAGTGAAAACCCCTTTTTCACTAAGTACAGTAGTACATACAGGGTCTGTATGACTCAGACTCTAGGACTACTCCTAAAGGCCTTAAAAAAATCTTTTTTTTCTACATTTACTGCTCTTTTTGCAGCTAGAATAACATTTGATCCATTTGATACTGTAGTTTTTTAACATCACTTTTATGATGCCATTGCTAGCTTGCAAAGCAGAAGCAAGCAGCAGGAGTCACATGGGGAGGTACAATATCCAGGGCTTTTTCCTGAGCCTTTGCAAAGGCAAGGCCTCAAACTTTACACAAATATCTGCATAGCCCAGGTTTAGTTCCAGCAGGCACCGTCGTGGGCTTGGGTTTGTGCAGTTTTTTTTCTTGATCAGCTATTGGTCTGATAGGAAGTGTTTCTGGATATCACACCTGAATTGGCCTGTTTGAGGGGGAAATGGGGAAAGAATCTCTTGCAGCCTAAATCCAATTAAGGGGTTCTGAAGCTTGAGTGGTGGGAGGAGGCTGTTCTTCTGGGTCATAAGCTGCCTCCATTTCCACCCCTTTGCAGCAGCATGAGCAAAAGCAGAAGCAACTACGTTTTCAGAGCAGCAGCTGATCAACTACTACTTTTCATATTCTTCTGCAAAATTAGAGGGTGATATCCTACCATTCTAAGCTTTTTTGTTGACGTTGCTTAGCTGATGTGTTGTTTGTATGTCACACCGGGGGTGCACACCAAAGTCTAATTGTAGTTTCTTTTCTCTCCCTTCCCGTATGTATTGATACCAGTCGAATGATGAAGGTGAGTTGACGTTTTACAATTGATAATGGGATTGTCCTAAACTCATGTCATGGGTGCTGTGTTTTCCAATGAATTTGAGCAGCATGGATCGAAACTGCCTTTTCCAAAAGGCAAATGATAGTGCTAGAGCATCACGTAGATGGATGCAATCTGTCATTGATAGTCACTCTCAGAGCTTGTATGAGGAATCTGAAATCAAAGATGTTCAAAATGTTTTCTTATGTTCCAAACACACAACTTCTGCAAACATAAATTTGATATTAATTTAATTATCACTTTTACCACTGCAAGTCTTGCTTTGAGTAAGAAATGGACAAAAGGGATATTTTGGCCTGTATTGCGTGACAGAATCATGTGCCACCAGTTTCAGTGGGGTTGGAACTAGATGATCTTTAAGGTCCCTTCCAACCCGAACCATGCCATGGTTCTATGGCTCTCTGAACTAAGGAAGTTACAGACTCTAGATAATCCTGCATTTCAAGGAATGTTCCAGAGCTACATGTTTTATGCTCTATCTACCTTAGGGAAATTTTGTTCCTCAATACTGTTCTATAGTGGCAGGACAAGTTCCTGTGTGATGTACTCTAGGTTACCCTGCTCTTGAAGGGGGGTTGGACTAGATGATCTTTTGAGGTCCCTTCCAACTCTTGGGATTCTGTGATTCTGTGACATAGGATTGCCCTGCAATCTCTGATCTTGATTCTCACATTCTGTTTTTACTCTTCTGAATCAGGTGAACCTAATCGTCCTCAAGAAATGGTTGTCATTTTCATTGTTCATATTGAGGTAAGTAGTGAATGGCAGTCTTAGCTAAACCTTGTAGTCAAATTAGTCTTCTCTTGTGCTCCATGACAGAATAGTATTTGATCCTGTCCACAGTGCTGTGTATGACCTCAGTTTTGAGATTCCACTGATGCTTTGCAAACCAGAATCAAGCAGCAGGAATCGCGTGCAGAGGTATTTCCTCCTGGGATTGTTCCTGAGCTTGGCAAAGGGAAGGCATTGAGCTTTATGACAGAATCTGCATTGCCTTACCTTTAGTTCCATCAGAGACAGTAGCATCTTTTTCTGGTCTCGTTTCCTTGTTGGGTTTTTCCGCAGCTTTTAGTCTGATAGGCGTGTTTCTTGAGATCAGAAAAGAAGGAATTTCTGCCAGCCTAAATCCAATTAGGGGGAGAAAAGAAGATGGTGTTCCAGGGCTTTGTTAGCTGCCTCCATTTCTATCCTTTTGTGGCATCTTGAGCAAAACCAGAAGCAACAGCTAGTTTCCAGAGTAGCAGCTAATCTACTACTACTTCTAAAATTCCTCATCAAAATGAGAGAATGATACCCTGCCATTCTCAGCTGCTGTTGTCGTCAGCACTTAGCTAAAGTTTTGATCTTTAAGGTATGTAACACCTGTGTGCACACCAAGTCTAACTGTATTTTCTCCTCTCTCCCTCCCCATATGTATCACTGGAAGAGGCCTGCTGAAGGTGAGTTGACATTTTATAATTGATAATGATTTTTTCTTCAACTTAGTTTATTTGTTTTGGTTTTGTTTTTTCCAATGAACATGAGCAGCATGGATTGAAACTGCTTTTCCAAAAGGCAGAGGACAGTGCTAAAGTATCTGGACAGTGTCTTAAAAAATGGGTCTATTTTGTACTTTACAGTCACTATCAGAGCTTGCAGGATGCATCTGAAATAAAATGCATCAAAGCTGCTCAAAATATGTTTTCTGGTTTTCCAAATACAGAAAGTCTGTAAGGCCAAAGTCGCTCATAATTGTAATCATCACTTTTAGCACTGGAATTTACCTGCTTTGAATAAGAAAATGTTGAAAGAGAGTTTTATCCTTTACTGCAGTGGAGTTCCTGCAGTGTAGAACATGTTGAAAGCTATTCATAGCCACGCAATTCAGGATAGTTCCAGGGCTATAGATTTTATACTGTATCTAACTTGCTATCATTAAATTACAGAGAACCAGCAAGAAGGGGGAAATTCTGGACCAAGAGTCCAGGGACAGTCGGATATCGCTGTTCCAGCTAGAGTTGATACAGATGAGCCAAGACATAATGATACGTATGTAACAGCTGATGTGTCTCTCTAAATTCTGATTTTTTCCAAGCTTTTGGCTTATATTTGATTACTGTGTGAATTTCAGTCATAAGATCTGTTTGCATTTCTTGAACAGAACTTACTTTTTTTAAAACCCAACAAAACCCAACACAAGGTTTTCTTCTATTGCTCATGAACTCAGGATCTAATATATTTTACAGTATGGCTTGATATATGTCGAAATGCTCATAATACCTGAAGGACACACCCAAAAATCTGAAAACCTGCTTCTTGTCATGACAGATTTGATAAGGAAAGAGTTCTTGGAATTAATGGTTTCCAAAGGACAGCTAGATGCTTTTGTCACAAGCTCCTTATTTCTGACCTGTTGAAAATTAATGCTGCCATACCTGTGCTGCACTGTGCTACAGACTGCTGTTACTTGTAGCAGTAGAGCAGGGGGACTGACTACATCATCCCCCATAACAAGAAGCAAGACCCCATTTCCTGTAGGGAAGGGTCACCCTAACTGCTTATTACATGCAACAAATGGAGAGAGTGAAAGGTACACAGGGACCTTCAGATAAAATGCATCATGGTCAATCTGTGCAGTTGGGTGATGATGACATTATAGGAACCAGTGACCCTCAATGCACAGTGACATTAATGGATGTGTGTTCTTTCTGCTTTTGTTCTATTTACCACAAGGCCACCTGGTATCATCAGATGTCCGATTTGCATGGATTTCTACTCGGCGGTAAGGATCTGCATTTTGTCATGGCTTCTTTTTTTGTCAGAGGGAGAACAGGGTGCGGGGTGAGCCCAGCCTCTCTGCCGGGTGATGTGGGATGCTGCAGACAGCTGGCTTGAGGTACAGACCTCGCTGTGAAGGTCAAGCTGGCTTGCAAGTCAGTCATTTCTTGGTGGTCAACATAGTGCCAGAAACACTTCCCAAGGGGGCACTGAAAGACCTTTGGGTTCCTTTAGTCAGTAATGTACTCATCCCAGGCACCCAAGTCGTCTCTTCCTGGTGCCAATAGACCAGCAAAGCATAATTCTTCACATCAAATTCCTCTCGTGCTGTTTTTTCTTCCAGATTGTGCAAAGCAGACGACATCCTGTGGCAACCATATGCGGCCACGTCTTCTGCAACCTGTGTCTTTATTATTCCCATATGAATGCCAACACTTGCCCAACCTGGAAAACAGAGCTTGGTGATGGAGACTATCATCACCTATATATATGAGTTTATTTATGTTTTACTGTTCCAAATAAAAATAGTTGTATTTTTGCAAACCAGTGAGTTTTTGCAAAGCTAGAGAGCTTTCTTATGGTCCAAGTGGCTTCTTGTAGTGTCCCTGGTTAGAATGTTAAAGTTAGGACCGTCTCTATATTAGATCAGGAGAAGAAAATATCTGTTGGGAAGGTCAGTATTTCCTTCAGCTTTTGCTTCTGCTCTCACAGATCTAAAACTTGGCTCCAGAGCCACCTTTCTCCAGCCTATTTTTGGGCCATCACTCCACCACTTCTTGAAGTGATGTATGTCTGGGCAACAAACCCCTTACAATACACCTCCCGTTGTCATCCTCTGAGCAAACTGCTTCAAGTTCTGTATTGAACTAAAGTCATGTTCCTTATTAACCTTGCCTATTCACAGCCAATATTGAATTATGAGCAATTCTGCAGCTCTTGGTATCCAGTCCAGGACCAATTTTGGCTTGTCCATGGACATTTAATAAGATTTCTATCCTGTTCTCCATCCTGCTGTCCAGAAATCAAGTTACACAATGTCCTGTTGCACCCTGCAGTTGTGGTCATTGCTGCCTAAACCAGCAGTGCAGGCTTAATATGTCAGAAGTTTCCAGAGTGCCTGCCAATGTGAAATATATAGGAATGATTGGTGTCAGCAACTTAGGAGTCCTTGTCATTATTGTACTTTGGGTGGAACCGAAAATCCTTGAAATCATTGTATCATATGTAGAATGTATAAGAATGATCAGATTATGATAGATGTTCCTGTCAATACAATGATGAAAGAGAAGAAGAAACAAAGGAATAATCCTTCTTAATCAAATGCTTTGTTACTTTAAGGGGTACTTTGTTTAACTACTTGAATGTCTCAAACGTTTTGCTAATTAAAGGGGTACTCTGTTTAACTGCTTGAATGCCTTAAGGGGGGTTAGGTAATCAAGAGATACATCCTGTTACAGGATGAGGTGAAACTTGTGTATTGAATAAGTAACTATATAAGAAATAGAATTTAGGGAGGCTAAGATGGTGGTTAAGCTTGTGATAGACATCCCCCGTTAATGTATTGCCAAGGAATTCAATAACTTTTTAAGAAGTTTCTTCACCCGAAGATAAGCCCCCAGCAACAGGAGGAGAACAATGAAAAGGAACCATGTTGATATTTGGGTGATGGAGACGACAGGATTGGCTGAAACCCAAGACCGAGGAGTATAAGAGACTGTACCCCAGAAATCTCGGTGTGCGTCTTGGGTGGAGCAGAGACTCCCCAGCGCACCCAGTGCTCCTTATTGCCTCTCGATATTAATCAATTGTAATAATTAATTACATGAGATCATGGCCAAGACAGAATTTTTATAACACCAATAGCAAGCAGCACATTATGTGCACTGAATTTTTATGTGCACTGGTCCTCTCTGGAAGAAAGTGAGGAGAGGCTTTCCCAGAGCTTTTCTCCAGAAACACCCAGTTCCTGATGCGACAAAAGCCAGCCAGCCATCACGCTTGTTTCTGTTCTGCACCCGAGTTCCAGATAAAGCACCAAGTACACATCTAGAAGAGAACCAGGACCCCAGAGGCATGCTTCACACAGAAAACCTTCTTACAGTATTTCACAAGCTAAAAAAAATGCTTAACTCACTGTATGGTAACCTGGACAAGCAAACTACATTCAGCCTCCTCCGGGACATGAATACGTGCTTGAACTATTGGGCTTTACAACAGATTCCTAAACATGAAGACATTTTAAAAGCCTAATTTACCATTCATTTCTGGCACAGCATATTTGTTTTAGCACTTTTCTTACACTTCAAATGTACAATCGGGTAAGGGATAACGATGCAGCAAAACAAAGGCCCGCCCTCTGAAGTCGGCTCCTGCTACCAGACACCCACGGGAGCGCAACCGGCAGCACCAGCCGCAGGTACGGCCGCGGAACCCGTCTTCCAAGCGCGCGTTGCCGCTGCAGAGGGGCCGCTATGGCGGCGGACCCGTGCCCCGCCGGAAGCGCTGATGCTGGGGCCGGAGGGCGGAGGACGCCGTACGGCGCCTATGGCGAAGGAGGGCGATGGAGAGGTTCCGGAAGCTTTGGAGGAGCCGCACCATGACCTTCGGGGTCCCTCTGTTGGTGAGCAGCATGGTGGGGATGTACCGGCACCGGGCAGGAGGAGCGGCGGCAGGCTCCACCCCGGCCTGGCGAGCAGCCTCTCCGAGCGTGTGGCGCTCCCGCCGGTGCCTCAGGTCGGGCGGGCGGGCGGTACGGCTTCCGCTATGGGGCCGGTGTACCGCGGGGAAGCCCGCTTCGGTGTCAGGGGAGAACGGGTGATGAATTTGTGGTGCCGGAGGAGGAGCGGGTTTTGGGTGAGCTGCGGGACGGTGCCGCCACCTGCATGCTTGTGGGGAGCGGCCGGTAGGACTCTGCTGTGTGCCCTGAGAGAGATGAGGAATCATAGAAACAGCGAGATTGGAAAAGACCTTTTAGGATCATCAAGTCCAACGGTTAACCCAGGGCTGCCAAGACCACCACTAAACCATGTCACTGAGGGCCTCATCCGCACGGTTTCTGAACGTTTAGAGGAACGGTGATTCTGCCACTTCCCTGGGAATCCTGTACCAATACCTGAGCAGCATCTCTGGTGATCAGGTCTTGGTGTTTTTAATTTAAAGCACTGCTTGCGTGTTTGTCTAACTTTCTTCAGCTTTTCAGCAGATTTTAAGCCGCAGCAGCAGTGATCATCTGGTAATTTGTACATACAGATAAAAGTATTTGAGTTAAACGAGTTGATAGAGTTACAGTAGAAGTGATAGGTGAGGCATAACTACTTAAAACAGTTGAGGCTAGAGAAGGTAAATAAAGTCAAAGGAATAAACCAAGATTATAAGAGAGGTAGCGTAATGGACTTGCTTAAGTACCTGTGTGCATAGAGGAAAAAATTAACAACTTGCGTGCACTTATGTATAAAAACTCAGGGAGATGGACAAAAACTGCAGCCAGGACATTGTTGTTTCTGTTTGTGCAGTTCATGTCTGGTTTTCCATGTATACAGTTGGTTTAGAGAAAGTAAGCAAAGTATCCACTAACAAAAGAGAAGTGGATAAAGAGTAGGTCAAAGGATAATTCTAACTTTTAATAATACTGCTAAAGAAATTATTGACTTTCTCCTCAAATACGAAGCAGCATACAGCAGAAAAAATGGAGTGGCCAAAAGGACAATCTGACATAGGTTATAGCAGAAATCTTTGGGGCTGGTTTCTTTGACTTTGTACTGCCTAATTCCATTCCATTTCTGTTACCGTGGAGCTCTTTTCTCCAGAGACAATATTATATAGAGAAATAGTCTATTATATTTCTTTCCAAGGTTTCATTTCTCCCTGCCTTAAAATTATTCTCTCCTCCGAATGCTTCAGAATGTTTCTGTGTTGCTGCCCAAAGGCTTCCCGAGGAGTAAGAAAAAGGAAACTTCATGTAATTCTTTTCAGTTTCCCAGGTGTGTATTGAACTCTGAAAGCATCTCTGAAACTGAACAGAATTGTGCTAGATCAGTTACAGCAAAAAAGGCAGTGAAGCTATACACAGAATTAGAAGGAGCATGCCTTTTTAACCCTTTAAATTCTACTGGTTGATAAATATCTGGTTGATAATACTGAAACCAAAGGTTTCTGTTAGATTCTTACATCCTCTGCATCATTTCTTTCACTAGAAACTTACAGGACTTTACTGTTTAGTACTGCTGGACTTTTCATCAGTACCATATTTGCTTTTTCAAAGGAAAAAAATATCAAACGGCTTTCATGTCTTCCCTTCTTACACTGCATATTTAGATGAAAAAATCCCTGTGCTACTTTTTCTAAAGGCTCCAAAGTTAGAGGTAGTTAAAGAAATCATAATTTGGAGACAGGTGAATTTCTCATTATACACACACATGCACAAATATACATTTAAAATACTTCTTTTTAGTGTAAATTATCTTGATCCTTTTTTCTTTGTTATTTTGGGCTTGTGGCTCTCAGAATATTTCAGTGCAAAAGGGATATTCTTGGTTGATCTTTAAACCTCAAACTGACAACAGCTTTCAGAGTAAGATGTGTAAATCACAGTTTTCGGTCATACTTTCTGAGAAGATAGGTGTGTTTCTGTGTGAGCATCAACAAGACTGTAGGAGGTAAGAATGAAACCTGCAGAAAACCTTAATTTGCGAATGTTCCCTTTAATTATGTAAATCTTACAGATATCTCTACGTGGCATAAAATAGTAAGCATGCAGGGGAGAGTGATGTAGCCTGGCATGGAATATCTTAACAGCTTGATTGCTACAGGGTGAGTAGTCCTAAAGCACTGGTAAAGATAGTAACATCTGTGTAGATGCTGGGATGAACTCCAGTGACCTTACAGATGTATGTGTAAAAATTACTGTTATGCTGGAAAGCTGTGCTACCTCTCTGGTGACTTAAACCATCTTTGTCAGCCATACTGACATCACCGTTTCCTATCATGATAATGGGAACTCTTTCCTTACGCTGAAGCTTATCTTAACAACTTTTCAGTGTTCTTGGTTCTGTTACAGAAGAAGAGCTTCAGTCACTGTTCCTTTAGATTCCTCAGGGGACCTTGAGTACCCTGGTTTAGTGGAAGGTGTCCCTGCCCATGGAAGAGGGGTTGGAGTTGGGTGATCTTTAAGGTCCCTTCCAACCTTAACCATTCTATGATTCTGTCACCAGAATTGGTGAGTCTATTAATATCCTGTTGCTGCTTTGATGCTTCTGTAAGATCCCGAGAGAGCAAGGCTCTTTGGTATTACAGCTAGCGGATCCAGTGTCATACATTTCTTATGAGGCACTGAACATCTAAGGTTACTTCTGTAGTGCTGTTAGAATGTTTAAAGGTTGCAGAAAGTTGTATTTTTAGACATGATAAATGTATACTTTCAGACAGGTATGATATGGTGATTCTAGATCATTGAGGAAACATGTTTGGATTTTGAAATTGCAAAGCAATAATATTCTAACACATGTATTAAAAAAATTATTTCATGGTTGCAC